CTAATACAAAGTACAAAAGTGGCGCCTCACCAATACCGAGGGATAAACCACTATCGTATTACAGTTCCAGTTAGCCGAAAATGTAACAACGAGGCTAGCGCACAGGGTGCCCATGGTCAAAGCAGTACTCTTAGCAATGGCGATGACATTGCACCCGGATCCCGTAGCACTTTTTTGCGTTCTGATTAAGTTAATTTTGTAAACGCCCAATCGGACATCTTCCGAGTTTGTTTGCATTTACAACGACAAAAATTACTTTAGACGTTTATTTTCCTACTCCCAAAAATATGACTTACCATCACTGCAAATATGGACCAGGAAATTTTGCACACTTACCCCACAAACAAACATTTTATGTGCTCAGATGGATCTGATCGATGTAGTAATCTCCCATTTTTAAGCTATCATTTTAACTCTATTGTGATACCTCAAAACCTTCCTAAAGAAGCAAAAAACATCATTCACAAGCAGAGTATATGTCTCCGGGGTACTGACACCCATTGAAGGTACAATGGCAGCACACCTAAGTGCCCTCTTTACAAAAATGACATTTAAACAAACAATCAACTTATCATAAAATCGTAGAAACTTAGTTGTCCTTTTTTTATACGACCTAACAAGTTAGTCTGCATATGTATTTGTGCGAAAACTACTTTACTAATTTACTCTGCATCCCAGTTTTACACTGGGCTGGCCTCTGAATCATCCTTGAAGACCCTTTTTTTAAACACTTCGTTTAATAGCCATAAATTGCAACATACACACGAGCCTCAGCCACGGCTTGACCCAAAACCACTATCATAAAATGGTGTTATCTTTTGGTCGATGAAAATCCCATCACATTAACACGGACGTCTGATACGAGCCGGGAGCTCGTCCTTGGAGCTTATGATAGATGCCATCAAACCGGGATCATTAACACCAAGCGCAAAAAAAATGCGTCAAATATCTCTTAGGATTAAAAAAATGCCAGCTGCTCAAAACGCCCAGCAATTATATCAGGAATTGGCAATACTGTAACAAAAATTATCGTAGTGAAGGCAACAATAGTGTTTTATACACAGTTAAACATTTGCAAAAACGTATTTAGCTAAAAAACATAACTTTACTTACTTGATTAATGCGAGTTTTACCTTTTTAGACATTTTGCGCATATGTAGTAGTATTTTACACAGTTGTATTAATTTTAAAACTCATCAGCATTTGATGACAAATCAGCCTCGATGGTTCTACTTTATTTTAAAGCAAGCTACTAATTAACATTTACAAGGTAGAACGAAGTGTGTATAAATAAAGTAATTGGGTTGATTGCATGAGCAGACCTTGAGGATGCCTTTTCGCAATGTTGGGAAAACAGTCGTAACTACGGGATGCTGACAGAAATTTAGTAAAACAGTGTCCACATTCTTGAGCCTGTGAAAACAGATAAATAGGCATTCAAAAACCAATGCTTTAAATCGTAAAAACTAGTTATAATGACTGCTAAAAGCACTTAACTGTTAACTTAAAACCTTAGATGCATTAACAAACACATGCTTTTTAAGGGACTATGGGGAAAACTGCAAGGCAACTATGATTGTTTTTGGTGATTGAATCAAACCCTTCTTGGCATTTTATTATAGATTTTGTGGGAACGCAATCGATATTGCTATTTTTTAGTCGTTTCGATTCTCATCATTGAGGGAATCGGTACATGATTTGCACGGTGGAGGGCTGAAAGGCCTAAAAACAATTTTTAAGACCTAGAGAGACCACTTTCTTCCATGTGAGCCTAAATTAATACCAGCTATTTTGCGTCTCAGCTACTTTCCTGTTCTCTACACTTCGTTCTTAACGTGCCTTAACCTGAAGTATTAGGAACCACGTGCCGTGCTCACAGACAAAGTAATAAGTTTGCTTCGCTAAAAAGTGTATTTATTAGTGAATGCACCCGCCGTAGATTAGGTAAACACTCTTAAATTTGGAGTTGACATGAGTTCATGTATTGACTGTACTAAAGGCTGTGCGGTCCTGTACAACGCGCTCGATCGCGACGCCAAATTATATTTCGTAGAAGACAGAATTCCTTAAAACATTGAAAGGGAAACAAAGAATTTGTCTTTTGACAATTATGCAAATTGCCCTGTTCAGACATATGGCAAACGATTCCTTAAGATCAACTTCTACTTGCTACATTTGCATCCCACTCCATATTTGTCAGTTTACGGAGCTCAAACTCGGATACTTACCGAAAGGAGACACTGCTTTGCGAGGTATCTGTAGTGAGCTTCTACACACCTAGCCGGTTGCAGTGGATGTTTATTTGATTCAAAGTTAAATTTTGATAAATGGCCAACAAAATCCGACAAAATTTTTGGCTGGAATGAGTATGTTCACAACCACCACCAAAGTAGCGCCCAAAGACTTTATTGAAGCTGTAGTATGAGGTGTCACCTTGGATGCGGAAGTCCTAAAAGCCTATAGACTGAGGAATCTTCACAGTTCAACGCGTATGAAAACAAGCAGATACGCAGCAGTAGCACTGGGAGGCAGCACATCTATTACCAGATTTGTGGACCTCGATCACGCACTAACGATCACGTCTTCTTCTAGCACCACTTAAGTTGGTTTGTTCTACTGCAACCACAACCTGTCCATGAATTCGTCCGGTGGGATGAGATGGAATAGATGGGGTGGAGTGGGTTTTTACTGCTCTGAAGTATTCACCCTTATTTTGCCAAGGTATGTGTTGCTACTAACTACATTACGGCGACCCGACTGTCTCCTTGACCTTATCTTCACTTTCTTTTAAGGAGTTCGGTTGAATGTTTGGTGCACCCACATTCCACCACTGCAATCTGCCGCCTCCTCACCATTCACACTACCGATTCTAACTGCAAAGCCTCACACACCTGTGGAATAGTAAAATAGGGCGATGGGCCAAATTCTATGATAACGACCCAGTTGTCAATGCTTGGCCTCCATCCACTAATGCACCCATTCATTGGCAAATCCACTCATTCATTCGCGTCCATCGCAGCACAGTTTGGAGATGGTTTATGACAGCCTGACGGAGAGAAGCTGAAGACTGCAGAGCTGTCTTCTGGAGTGCGTCGACACCGACATTACACTGAATGCTCCACAAAACAAGTTCTGCATACATGACATCAAGTTCAGATTGAATTTGATGTTGTTTAATGGTAGAAGTCGGTTAGTCGGTGGAGATGGAGGATTAGAGCACCGTAAATACGCGATGCTATGCACAACCAAGAGTGCCTCGGAAATAGGAATTGGTGAGCGATCTCAGTAAGGTGGTGGTTCAATAGACCTATTCAAATGCGTCCACTGATTCAAGTGATGCTGAGTTCATATTTACAACTTGTTGAAAATGAATGATTGAAGAAATGGAAAGTGGATCATTGGTGGTCGTATTGTTAAATGACCTCGGACGTGCTTATCATATCCGATGACAAGGGATTCACAGTATCAGTGGAATCGTCATCCAATGAGGAAGGAGGGTGAACGCACGATTTCAATTGAATGAACCAAAAATTATTGTGTCCGATGCTGTCCAAGGAAAGGTTTGGATAGCAATTTGTTAAAAGTCTCTTTCTCTGTCACATTCTCCTCATTATCGGTAGAATTTCCTGACTCGCCCACAAGCGTAGGGCTTGGAAGGCGCTCTCTCTTGCACCCCCCTTCGTTCGTGAAATGCTTCGAGGCCAAACTTGGCTTCTTCCCTCTATCCTCCTGTGTATCCATCTCCTAAGCCATTATGGCAATCAAAGCTGTGAATTGCCCATCGATATGACCACAGTTTGTCCCGGAGCACAAATGTACCATTTCTTTCTACCAGACCAGCCCTTTATCCCCTTGCACGTGAAGATGAGCACCTTGCTCACGGATCGCGGTTTGTAGTACGGCCAATCCCCTACACGCCTCCTTAGCTTCCTTGCCACCGACTGACCTTCCTATCTACATACACACATCCTGGCATAAGTCAGTGTCTGCCACTCTAGACAGTTTGCTTAGCTGAGCCCTCAGGACTTATCTAAGAATGCTCACTTTCCTTGCTTTCCGAAGTTCGCTGGATGTGTAATCCCCTTCTCCTCCTGGCATAGTCTCATTTCTCTAGCTGTTTTTAATTAACAGAGTATGAGCGAGTTCAGCATTGGATAAACCTCCACAAAAAATGCGTTGCTTTTATCCAGGTTTCCACCTCACCAACGCTCTTTATTAAAGGCGACAGTTGTTTTGCCGCATTGTGGAAGGTAGGGGCACAAGCGATGATGGTGTGTTTTAGTGGTACCGTGGTGAATCCTACAAATTTTTTACGCGCAATCCACCCCACCATCGCAATCTCCTCATTTGGCGGCACAACAGTAAGTTGTAAAGACAGGAAGTCAGGACTGATGCCAAGTTATGGGCATGGCGAATATATAGAGGAATGTGGATGGGATTCAGCGCTTGCCCCTTTATATATCAGCTAAAAGGCTAGACGGTTTATAGCTTACCACGAACAAGCATTTCGATGCTTGTATATTAGGCTCTGAGAGGACTTCAACATTTCCGGTGCGATAGTACTTATAACGGATATAAGCAGGTAGGGCTTTAATGTATTTGTACATTTTTGTGGATTCGATAGTTATCTGTTCACCTACTTGACTGTGCCAATAAAACGTGTCAAAATATTGCCATATCTTTTCACTTACCAACAAGTTAGAAAAAGCGGGCTGCACTTTGCGTTGGCCGCATCCGACAAACACGAGTGTCTTCTCCTGGAACAATTCTCCATTGAGAGGAGAGGGTCCCCTTTGTAATTAATGCATGCTGATCAAAAGGAAAGCCACTACTCTTCCTGGGTGTTCCTCCTGTGGAGCAATCATCGGTGTATTTGTATGTATAATGTTTATGTAACCATATGAAAGTGTATCCACACAAATAAGTCGTGAATTGGAGCCCTGAATGAACGAGAGTGTAGGAAGGAGGGGTGAAAGCGTACAGGCAGAAAATGAACAGCTTCAGATCTCGTCGAGGTCAGAGAAGGGAAACAAATATTGCAGATGGTGGTGGCTGCTATGGTGGAAGGGTAATCGCAGTTGAGCAAGTCTGAGAGAGAGGATAAGAAGGCGGCGGAATAGCCACATAGGCCAGAGATCAAGGAGAGGATCCTGTCCGCAGCCCAGACTGAGAGGCTGCAGCAAGTACGCGGCCACGGGAGCACTGATGAACTCCGAATGAAATCGTGACATACCGAGGGCCGCGTAGTTCTCCATGCGTGATAGCCATGACACCCAATTCGTGAGGAAGGCGGCAATTGCAAGGAAACGCAGACAGACTGGTTTAGGGTAAGGATCACCTCCTCTTCCGTCCTCATCGCCCTCGTTCTCCTTCTGCTGCTCCCTGGTGGGAATAGGCACGCGGTAGAAGGGCGAGAGGGCGTCGAACGGTGTCATCCAGAGAATGCCAATGAGATGCGGTTTTGGCCACCTGTGGTGCCGCATCAGATTGAGCAGAGGCGAGAGCGGTGACAGCGCCTGTGTACAAGCAACAACATGCCTACAGACCAGACCAGACCAGCTAGACAATCAAACATACATCCCTCTCTAGTTTGTTTTGTTTGAATAACGAAACTTGGTCTCCTTATTAAAAGCCAACATTAATGTCCACAACATGGAATAAAATTACTGAGACCGACTGACTCACCATCGGGTCAAGGAGAACGAGATTTTTCATTGCTCCATTCTTTGCGCAATAGTGACAGATGTCCGAGATCAGTCGGCCCGAGCTGGCTCGCCACGGTGGAATGTGGATGCCTGTCATTGAGAGGTTCACATTCTGCTGTGGTGCAAATCGAATGGGCCATCGAGTTTGCCGAAAGATCCATTTCCATTGGGGAGCTAGGCCTGCGTTACGTTGGCAACTCAAGCACTTTGTCATTAGAGGGTGGGCCATGTAAACCTCCTCGTGCGTTTGAGGTGAAACAGACGAAGCCCGTTTTCTAATCTGATTGTCAGGGTATTCCAAAAGACAGGAGTCAAAGAGGCGTCCAATGCCCTCACTTCCACCATCGTCATTTGAGAAACATGTGAAGTTCTCACCGTGTGGATTGTTCTCAACAAGCAGGAGGTTCTTATCACTGGTGTCCGCGGTAATTGCCGGAGGGACAGGCTTGTCAAGTACAAACAACTTGACAAGATTCAGCGAAGAACTGTAGCTAGCGTAGGGTTGGTGCAAGCACCCAGAGTACCAGTGAGATGCAAACCACGGACATGCGCTTGATGTTTGTCTTGATTCGGGATGAGTCTGCAATTCGCGTAGAGCACTGCCGGTGAAGAGGGTTTTGTAATGCTCACCCAATTCAACTGGATGATGTTCATCTCCCAACTTTTCAATAAAGTAGAATACGGTGTGGGTGTCTAGTTTCACGGCATTGCTGGGATGCCAAACAAGGACACGGTGGCGTTCAAGCCCATGGGGGTACTGGTAGTTATGACAATGACTCTGGCAAATGCTCTCATCTTCAGAGTCGATCGAGTAACGCATGATCGCAATGGATGGAACGGTTTCAGACATCGTATTGGTGGATGCGTCAACTAATTCAATGACGCACTCCTAAAACAGTAAAGTGATAATATTTCTTTAGAAAATCGAATAATTTCTTTAGAGGAGTTTACTAGCATAATCGGGGTTTCGACGAACCTCTTCTTCTGAGGCCGCACTATCGGTGAAATTATCGGTTTCTGAGCCACTTTTCTGATCATAATCGGCCATTTTTCCCACCCATTCATCCTCCTCTTCCTCCTCCTGTTCTGGTGTGGGAAGACAGCCGTTAGCACGAGCCCACTCGCACCACGCCACGTTGGGTGGGAAGCGATGTCCATCAACAGGAAGACCAGCAAGTGCTCGTGCCGTCTTCGTGGCCAGCTGGGCAGGGTCATGAAGTGTTACGAGGGGGTTGTTCGGTGAATCAAAGGTGGGATGCTCAATAAGATGGAGTATCGCCTTCACCAAATCGCTCAGACTGTAGCAACTATGCAAAGGAAAGCAAGAGAGATATGGCTTTAGCGACAAGTAAATTGGATCCGCTTTTCACCCTGAACTGGCATTGCAGTCATGAAATGGAGTATGAAAGAGCAGTTTTTGCAGAATCTTACGCACCTTTGCCAATCGCTGAGGAGGCTCAGATGCATTGAACAAGTTGAGGGGTCGATGTTAGGATGGAATATTGGCGAGTCGAAGAACACTTCAGGGCTATTCCCGGGGTATTCGGGACAGCACGAGATCTGGAAGTAAGTATGCTTTGTCTAGGTAGGGGTTATGCAATTGAAGGTTAATCATAGTTAATGGAAAATATGTTTTGTTTATCGACATGAATAGGATGCTCGACGAATAGTCTTAGAGTGTGTTCAGGTTCGAGTGAACCTTCCAAGGTGGATCGTGGGTCACTGGCCTACCTGAGCCACGTGCTCCAGATCGTTAGACCAAATGACAAGACAATGAAATGGTTGCGCTTGGCAATCTGAGTGATTTCTGTTTGTCTGGTCCACATTGCAACACTTCTAAGGCACTTGGACAAATTAATGAAGACACTGCTTTTGCGAGTGTCTAACCAGAGTGCATATTAAGCAAATTATAGCATATTTCGGTAGATTTCAAGATGATTACTGTCAAAAGAAACTCGGCGTGTGCGTAGTAGCCGGACTTGGGTCGCAGGGAGACCTTGACCGTCGTTGCATCGCTCTCGACGATGGATGCCTGACCGTCTGTCGAAGCGTCGATTGCTGTAGAGAGCTGCTGCAGGTCCTCGAAAAAGGTGCGCTGATCTTCGGAATAATTCATCTAAAAGTGGAGAAGTTGCCAATGTCAGTGGGTCAGACATCTAGGCCACAACTGGTGGATCATTTCTGTGATGCTGCCGAAGCTCTTACACACTCCGTTAACACAAGACTGACCAACATAGTGTAACTGGTAAGCTAAAAGTAATTTGAATGAATAGTACCTTACCATGGCTCGCATTCCATCAAAGCTGAAACCGTAGAACCCACCAAAATATTTGACAAATTGACTCACTGTGCTCATATCAAGAGGCGCAAGGCATTCGCGAGGGGAATAGTTCACACGTCAGGTAGCATCCACTAAGTGCTTGAACTAACAAGTGGAGCAACTGCCCCACCGTTAATATTTGTCTTCACTGTACTGTAGCTGAGTCGTCACGCGCTTCCAGTCGGTAGGCCACTCCAACGAGTCCGGTGAGTGCGTTCACGCGACTGTTCATGCATGCGGGTATGCGGGTACCAGCACAGAGCGTATCTGCACGACTTCTCAACAGTTCAAAATCGGCGAACCTGGCACATCCATTGACTTCTCGAGACGCGTGTAAACCAATGAATTTATAGGAAAAGCAGTGGTCTTTTAGTTCTCGTTATACCACTGGAAGACCCTGGTCGGTTTCATTCCCAGACTGTAAATTCTCCAGTCAAGAATGTGGATCAAAAGGCCCGTTGGACAATCAGACGATTGGTAGTGGGATCTGCAATGTACTTTGCAGTCGAAATGGGCTTGTGAACTTACACCAGGTCACCTTCTTGTTAAGAATTTGGCCTTTCGCTTTCGTTCTAAACCTGACCGATCCAGCTGTTCATGGACGAAGGTAGGAGTCACGTTTATCTCTCTTCTGGTTCCCCAAGAACGTGTTATATAGTTTTCAAATTCACTGTTTCTGCATTTGGCATTCAAATGTTGGCTAGTCTTCCCATTACGCAACTAAAAAAAGATTAACTCGGAAGTATATTAAACAAAACGCTGAAGTTAGATAACTTCAACCGTAGAAGAACGTTCCCGTTCAACTTTGTATAGGTTTTGCACTATCTTGGCTCTCCTCCTAAAAATGATAGAAACGGGCCTCTCGCTCAGTCTCGCCTGACTAACTGAGATCACGTTTGGGTAAACTTTAAATGCACTAACATGCACTTTAAGGACAAGGTCAATCAGTCACCATAATAGCGCGTGACTCAGACCGTGTTCCACCGACTTTACCACCCAGTCACCAATTCCATATCCCTGCGCTTACTCACGCATGTCAGTTGGTCGGCTGATTCTCTGGGTCGTGATCCAGGAGGTGAGGGACTTTTAGCTGAGGCATGGGCTTTCGGTGGTACATCAAATGCGGCCGGCTGGTAGAAAAATGCTTTCTACACGCAGAGCTGTGGCAGGCTGGAGGCCAAAAACCGTGGCGAGATGAGACTTTCGAGGCGCATCTGACTAGTGCCACACCACCTCAATGAGTCAACCGTGTGTGACAGTTGATACTGCTTTTGGAACCCTAAAGTGAACAAAAAATGCATGGAAGAGGATGAAAGTGTTCCAGCAACAGAGACTTCACTCCTCAATATGGAACTTGGATTGGCACTGGATCTGTAGTGGACAGGATCTGGTAGTCGAATCAGACAGAAGGTAATGCTTGCGGTAGAAGCTGTACTGGAAGCCGCACAAATTTTCATGGGATGTATCCATTCCCTGTGTTCTCCACCAGGAACTTCCAATCCATCATTATTTCCTCTTTACATTACTTTATCAAATTACAAAACTCTGTGGCATCCTACAGATCTGAGCCAAATAAAGGAGACAAACGTGATCGCCGCATCGCTCACTCTGACCTCCATCGGTGCCCTCCGCATCACCCTGTTGTGAGCTTTCAACCACTATTTGAGGGCGCAGCCAAATCCAACGCTCACACCCACATTCTCCGTAAATCCCTCTATTATCCACTTTATGTAAATCTAGCTGTAGACGGCTTAATGTTTGCAGCGTTTTTCCTCCATTACGGCAACGCACCCACCTTTGAAATCATGAATCGGGCCATGAGTAATCACCGTACTAGGGGGAGATTCCTCTTCGCTTTACAGAAGCGATTAAAATGACGCTGTTTGCGAACCACAAAAGTTGCTTTTACTGGAAAAAGAGTGGAGTTTAAGGGCTACAGAACTCTAACGACAGTGGAGACCCACCGCCGCCATCTCCGATTTTGGGGCCTGATTAAGAGGATTGGCTACTGGAAGACATTTTGCATCATGATAATGCGAGATTTCGAGGATGATTAAGGTTTGTCTTTTCCCTTGAAAATCGACGGTGACTCCACACCTAAAAGGTGTACTCAAACACCAACGTCAGTGATGCATTAACGGAGGGTGGATCAAATAAACTCGATCTTTTACCTACTTGTTTATCAAAAGTAAGAAGAAGTGTAGATAAGACCAAAAGTTTTATGGAAATTAAGCGAAATTCTACGTGCTTTTACTTCCAAAATATAACTGCTCAAGCATTTGGTGAAGTTGTCATAGCCCCTATCGGTGTGGAAGAAGACTTATTACTATCTTTCAGAGGGATCGAATGGCTAAGATGGCCTTCATTACCATTAAATGGAGCTTGTGTTTAACAAAAATTCATTTCTGGGGAAAGAGAATTTTGGAGAATTCATTGCTCAGGAGGAGTAACGAAAAGGCAGGTACGCGGCTCGACATCTGGAAAGACCTTCCACTAGATCTGCACACTTCGGAGGAGAGGGGAATTGTTTATGGCAGCCAGGTGAGATAAGTGTCAAAGACAGACAATAGCAGACCTCAGGGACGAGCAAACTGATGTCCTTCACTGCTTTCCAGTGCGGTGTGAGGACACGTCATCCGCTTTGGAATGTTGACTGCCGACTGGGAAGGATATTCATGAGTCAAATTTTGCCAAACGCAAGAGCATTTTCACACACCATTCCACCCCACAATTCAAAAGCAACCCATTCACCTCCTCATCACCATAACGCTGTGCTTGCTTTGTGGTTCCGTGTGTTTGAGACGCACTGCCATCTCAATTGTCTGCTTGTCAAAGGCCAAACAACAAATAGAACTACGATCTGCCTACATCGTACAATTCAAAGTCCACCAAAATGAATCCACTCTTCTTTCTCTTCGTCAAAAACAGTTTGGATTGGCGAATCTGTGGTAAGAAAGTCTCTCTACCATTGTGCCAAACAACGTGACGAGCGTGATAGTGAAAAGACCAGAATTTCAGAGGAGGGATATTTCCTAACTCTCATCCATCTTATTCTTCTGATAACATAACTTGGCACCAGAGAGTACCTAGAGATGGACCCGGACTCTAAAGTGCCGTGACAGTCTCCAACACTCAGTTGTTCAAGTAACGATGAAAAATTGTATTCCGACTTACTCAATCAGGTGGCAGAGGCACCAGAGGTGAAGAAAGTGGTGATGGAGGTCGTAGCGGATATCAGTGCCGCAGAACAGAACCCTATAAGTCTGTATCTCCCGGGGACTCTACAGAAGGGCTGACAAAGGACAAGGAGACATAAGAAAGAACAGGTAAAGGTCAATCGGGCAGCAAATTTTTCTATAGTAATTGACTTTCCAATAACGAGCTGAAAAAAGCGACTACGTTGGTAGGGCGCTAAAGGCGTCCAAACAGACAGCTCACTATTGCGCAGTTAAAGTAGAACCCTCTGGTGGTGGTAAGACCCCTGAGGATGAGGCAAAATGCATCTAGCTCATGAATCCTTCCATTTGCAAAGACGAAAAAAGTGACTCAAAGAAATGTAAAATTGAATCCAAAAAAGGTTATTCACATAAGAAGCTGATATTACGGTAAGCTGCCATCTCCTTTCCGGTTTTCCTTCCTCTAAAGAAGAACTGGGTTGTCAAGATTTTTGTCATCGTCAAATTAAGGTAACTGTGTACTAGAAAGCAACAGGGATCACCATCAGGAGCATCACCGTCACCGCTGCCAATCGAGAGTCTAGGACCCTCATTGTTTCTGTCCGCAGGGTCGCATGTGCCGCCTGGAACTCACTCACATACCCGCCCATGATTTAGGGAGTAAATGTCATTCCCCATTCACCCTTGGTAAGTGGATGCATAAGAATGGGTTAATGTGACGTCCTCACGAAGGGAATGCAGCATAAATGAAGGGAAACACTATCACTCATCTAACCATTAGGGAAAAGTCAAGATAACTGTCTAGAGTGTGAGGCTCTCTTTCAACTGAACATCTTGGCGGCGAGCGGCAGTCGGAGCCCGGAGTTCAGTGGCGCCTACAGGTGAATTGGCAAGAGGAAAGGGGTGTTAACGCCTGTGATGTTGAAGCCTAAAGTTTGTCATTTGGAAAAACGAGCCTATTAATCCCAATAGACTGGAACGCCGATTTAAACTCCACATCATTTGCCAACTTGAAGATTTTTGTGGGACAAACTCATTCACATCATAACAAAATCAGCCTGTCAGTTGGAGCTCGAGAATTCATGTCAAATTTGATTCGATACTCTCAGAAGTGGTTTCGCTAAGTAGACATCATCATCTTACTAATTAATTTTTCACGGAATCAAACACCCATTGAATAAGCGTGGGCCAATCAGCTGCCTGCATGCAATGGGCCAATAAAGTGGTTATGAATCAAACCAATCATATACGAGAGAGGGGTAATGACGAATTTGTGGTCCTCGGATATGAATTGTAAGCCATTCCGAACTTCTTTCCAGTTATGAGTTTGAAGACGAAGAGGAAGAATAATACAGCTGGCGATCATACACACAAATCATCTAAGCAAGTCTGTTACATATATAATCGCCGGTTTCCATAAAGTTGTAATAAGCGCTACCGGTGCGGAAGAAGACGGACTATTGGCGTTCAGAGGCCAAGAGGTAAAATATATTGCATAACGCCTTCTTCTCGCAAGCGTCGTCGTCGGTGCTTGTTACACCATCCACTAGCCAAAAACGACAAACGTTACACGATAATAGCTCCAAGTGCAGTGGTGCATTTTGTCGCTCCCACCACATCCACACATTTGTCCTCCTTGTAAAGCGCATTGGCAGAAAGGAGACTACCACCTTCAAACCCCTCACAACTGGACGACTCCCCACGAGGGGCACATTTCCATAGACATTGACGAATTGTGGAAACATTTGCTGATATTCAGCATCTATTCTTTGGATTCGCCTATAATGTAATTACCGCTGTTTTCTCCAGAATAATGCCGACCGGAGTGGCTTTGGACCATGGGACAGACGAGGAGGTCGCCCAAAACAAAAGCATGAATTGCGGATCCTTGTGCATCTGTTCGGCTAAATGGCCAGTCAAACATGGAACCAGAAATGAGTGGCTGAAGCAGATAATAATGAAGAAAGCCTTCAAATGAGGTTGTATCCACCTACAAACGCATGCAAAGCAAATGTAAGTTCTGTTTGAGGTTCCATCAGATGATAGAGATGCTTGTCGTGAGTAGTGGAACAATTCACTGACAGCTAAGAACACGATCCTCTCTGCAATGTCAGAGACGCTTGCGCTTTCGCTTTGGCTGTCTGATAGCGTTTGTATAGCCTTCCACTTCTTCAGGAGTGCCTCCGAACGTTGCTCTAATGAAATCGCAAGACGGATTCTCCCCAACGATCTCCTCATTCAATAATACTATCGACTGGATGGGCACTTACTGATTGGAAAGTGGCAAGGCGTTGGCTGAGTGAATGTGTAATGCGGTGGCATGCCTTATGAATGCATGCAACCGCATGATAGCCATCGAATGGGGAAAGAAATTGAGAAGAAAAGAGGAGACGGGGAGTTATAGCCTGCCTTACCCACGGCTTTCTCCACACTGCACCTCATTTGTAACGAGAGGCTTCTGTTGGATAATATGAGGGTGATCACTTGACACCAGAGCAAATGAGATGGAGATGGGAAAAGGAGCCTTCAGCACCACCAGACGTTCCTCACAGTCCATATTCCCCTCATGCCAGCCTTGAAACTCGACTGACTCGAGCCGACAGTTGGTCGATTTCTGGCGTCCACAATGCCACTGAAGGAGTGCCGTGGGAGAGGATTTGGCCAGCACACATTTGATACCCATTCGCATCTCCAAAATCACAACGCACTTTTGACGATCTTTGCTCGCGTTGGTCATGCCGCCTTCAAAAATAGGATACCTCAACGAACAAACTTAGTTTAAATGCTCCACTGTCTTCAACGTCAGAATGGAAGCCCAACGACGGAGTGATAAGACCGCCACCGTATACACACTCAAGAAACATTACCCACAGTGTGAATTGCATGCCCTCAACATAATTTACTCCTCCGAAGGGCATTCCTGCCCAGGAATGTTGCACATTCATGTAACAATTACTTAAGAGTGATCTTGTCGCTTCAGCTTGGAAAAGGGGTGCAAAACCGTTGGACGTGATGTTCCAAGGTTGGAACTGGAAAAAAAGGGGAGGTAACATGTAGTAGCTGTGGAGGGCCAACATCTACAAACGCCTTCTCGCCAACAAGACCAACCAACTTTTAAACGTTCAAGGAACGAGCAAAAAGACATTGTCTGCTTCTTCGCCTGGCAAAGGCATAGCGGCTGTAATAATACATTTGACAGTCTTCTCACTCGCATTCACTCACGCATTCAAGCCACAAAATTTACATTGATAATCGGAAAGGAGATGGGTGCAATGAAAGGGACAATCAATCAGCCTATTACACGATAAGGACGACGAGGTTCCAGTAGTAGTAGTTGTTGTTGTAGTAGTAGTAGTTGTAGTAAATAGACACAGTATTAAAAATTGAGTCGAGCGCAGCGCCACGCACGCACACAAGCACGCTCGCGTGTGTGTAAGAAGAAGGAGAAGACGAAGCGTCACATTAGGGGTTAACTCGGGGCGACTTGACATTGCCGACACCGCCACTGCCACAAACGTTGCTGCTGCCACCAACGCTGCTGCTGCCATAGCTCAAAGCATCTGAGAGGAACTTGAAGATCTCGCCTTGCAGCAACAGGCGTCCTCCACCTCCACCCTGTTGACGCTGCAGCAGCTGCTGGAGCTCCATCTCTGCATCGTCGTTTGTCCCGCCTCCTCCCTCGTCATTGTCGGTGTCCGTGGCACCTTCGTTGATGTAATTCCCTTCGTCTTTTCCGTTGCGCTTGTCAACAGTGCTAATCATCACTATGGATTCGGTAGCAGTGGTTTTGTCAAATCCTGTCACGTCCTCCTCCAATCGCAGTTTCTCTTCCGCATTTTGCCAGATGCTCTCCTCCACACTGCCCTCTGCAATGAGGCGAATCACGCGCACAGGCCTAAACAAGACAGACTCCACATAGCGAGCCTCTCACGCCAGATGGAACGGTGAAGCGTTAGGGGAGGGGCAGCTTACTTCATCTGGCCTACCCGATGGCATCTGTCAGCAGCTTGACGATCGTTGTAGGGATTGAAGTCCACGTCGTGGATAATGACCACGTCTGCTCCTGTTAAGCTGATTCCGAGACCCCCGGCCTTTGTGGAGAGTAGGAATATGTCGTAGGTTTCGTCGCTGTGGAGGAGAAATCAAACGTGTGGAAGGTGATTTTTCCCAGGCAATGGTTGGGAATTCCGATCACTCCACCTATGCTTAAAGTCGTACAACTCAAAGTCGCATGCTTCACAACTTTTCACCTTAAACAAGAAGGCTTCACTGATTTCAGTGAGGTGGAATATGCCTACAGTTACGTACATTTCCAAATTTTGAGGTGAAGGAGTCTTCTAAGTGGTTTGAAATGGAATCGCATGTACCTCATTATCTCGCAATTCAGCGATGTAGAAAAGCAATTATTGTGGAACGTCGAGGTTAGCACTCAAAACGAGACTTCACATGCTGGAATGGTATTGTCAACATAATTAAACCAGTCTCGTTAGTCTTTACGATGATCTTGTTTATGCCAAGTTGGTCACTTCTCGAGGTCATTAGGTGTATTTCAAAAGAGCTGACGCGGAGGCTTGTGTGCCCTTACAACGTCTTTGAAGATGAGTCTGTAAACCAATATCCGTTTTCATACATGCGACACCCAGTCTGGACACTGATTTTAAGGGCAGGAGGTATTGGCTTACCTCTAGACAGCTTGAATGCGAAGTATGCAGTTGTTTATCTCATCTAGAAATTGCCAATCATGAAATATGACTCGATTCTCCAAAAAATAGTTTGTACTGTTATAAAGAGGTAAAAAAGGGAATAATTCAGCGTTAGTAGCTCTAAATAGTGCAGGTGACTGCTTAACCCATCGAAAATGCGTCAAGTTAAGCTTCATTACCGAGAGTGGCCGAATAAATTAACTAGAATGAGCGTTTCGCTGTGGTGACAACTGGGAGAATTACCAGTTAAGGAAACTGCCGACTTGACCTTCAATGTCAATTGAAAAGTTCATTTTCTTAATGATAAATGCATACAAAGTTAAGAATAGATCGGCCGAAAAAATAATTTCAATGCTTCCTTTACTTGTTAAAGGTATCGATGAGAGTCTGTCGATCGTTGACAGCAGTTGAGCCGTCCATCCTGAGGAATTTGTGTCCCTTGTTTACCAGGTACTCGCCGAGAATGTCAAGAACCAATACAAACTGACTGAATATGAGGATTCGATGGCCCTCCTTTAGCATGCCTGGTAGGTTGTCGTCTAGCCACTTTATCTTGCCTGAGCCATTCACCAGTGTCTCTGGTGGTAGAGCGAATGGATTCAGCACCTAATAGCAGCAGAGTGAAGGGAGGAAAACAATGTAATCAAAAAGCGTCAGAAACGAGTCGAGAAGGAAGAGCCGAAAGGTTTGATGAAGCATGTTTCAGGGCTAGTCAAGTGAAACCTTTTCAAGTGGATTGTGACCAATTTCGGCAGATCAGTGGAAATCTAGGATCGTAGACCTTTAAATGTAAAAGAAGGATGGTTTTTTAGGACTGCCCATTGTCAGGACATACGCATATATAAGCAGTCTTGAATCAAACCTCAGTCAGACCAAATCAAGCTTAAACCACTCAAAACATTCGAGCAGTAGTGTTGGTGTTATTTATCCTGTTTACCCATTCATCCCTCACGGGCCCCAAACAAGATTTTTGTTTCCAAAACCACGCAAAAGAACAATGCAACATTACTTCTTGTCATCTCAGACTGGCTAAAACCAAAGTAGTAACGCTAGACAATAATCACGGAGTTTCCGGGAAGAACAGATGACAGACGACCAACTACAACATCATTTCATGTGTAGATAACACTTTTTTGGGTTTCTCTTCACAATTCTTTGCATTGTGTGCTATACAGAAATGTCAAAAGGTCAAAGAGTTTTTGAAAACTAATTTGGACTTTTAAAGCAACCAAACTTTTACCAAAATTTACTGGGGGTTGAAGCAAGATAATAGGTCAGCAAAGCAAGAAATAGCATTCTTCGACTAACCCATCTTATCTCGTTCATTTAATGCTAATATAAACCGTAGTGCATCATAAGTTCAGAACCCGAAATGTGTTGGGACTGCTCCACTTGCAACACAACATCATAGAAATTGACAATTTCTCATCAGTTAAGAAGAAGTAACAGCTAACTAGAACATGGATTAACCAATGAGGAGTTCTACTCCTCCTTGTAATATCCTTGATGTCTATATGGGCAATAGCTCCTGACAAATACTCACATCATAGAGACGGCAGACTTTGTGGATCTGGTGATCCGACAGGTTGCAGAGGTCCTCCAACACCAATGCCGGATCTGCATCCGAATGACTCGGGTCATTGTGCAGAATCACCGAGAGCTCCTTCAGCGTGTCATCGGAGTATGCGATGCCGGGCAGCAGTAATTCATGATTTGCCGCCTTTCTTAACTGCATTAGCATGTTGAAGGGTGAGAGACGCTCCACTCCACTCGAATGCTCCAATCCCCCAGTTGCTGAAGCAGAATCATCCACATCAATTGAAGCTAAGGGATGGAATCAGCAATCTTCTGCAAAGGCAAAGGGATAGACCTTACCGGTATCCAGAATTGAGATTTTCGGCCGTTTCGCCGCGCCATTTGTGATAACACCTTTGGAGAGAAGAAAGCTACTCTGTCGCTTCACTGCAGACATGTCTTCATCCTCTCCCACATCGGAAGCGATATCTGCCGCACTAGCACCCTGAGCATTCCTAAATTTATTTATCAGGTTTGTGTACGCGATTCTCTGACTCTCCGTGAACGGCACGCGTACCGTCTCCTCTGTCTTAGGTGGGAGTTGCTGCAGTACCTGAGATTTGAGTCTGCGTAGGCAAAATGGTTTGAGCAGCTGCTTCGCCTGCTCCACCCTCTCGCGTTCAAACTGACTTCGATTCCCGAGAAAAATCGAAGCAGAGGCGCCCTTACCGTCTTCTGCTTCAGTGCCCTCCCTTCCATCAGCATTTCTCCGATCTCCTGTCTGATCACTGCTGCCAATGTTTGCGGCGCTGGGGTTCGTGGTCGACTTGCTCATCAGCTGAAACATACGCTTCAAGTGATCAGCATTGCCACCAGCAAATAGATCGGGCATGACAAAAGCGAGGAGGGAGATTAGTTCAATCAAGTTGTTTTGCAGCGGCGTGCCCGTCAGCAAAACCCGGCGTTGTATTTGGAAGCTGGAAAGGGTCTTGTAACGCTGCGTAGTCATGTTCTTCAGCATATGCGCCTCGTCAAAGATGCCGTACTTGAAGTCTACACGCTTCATCAGTGCACGATCCTCCAAGGTGCTTGTAGCTGTGGAATAGCTGGTGAGGAGAACGTTGAAATCAGGACGAGAATCATTTTGCTGGCACTCGTAGATTTTTAACCGCATGGCTTTGCGCACATCAGCAGTGCCCTGGTAGACGAGGATCTTGAGCTGAGAGCACCAGTTTCTCAACTCGCGCTGCCAGTTATCGACAGTTGAACTGGGACACATGATGAGATGGGGCCCACGTTCACCCTGCTCGTAGAGATATGCCAGCAGAGCGATGGCTTGAACGGTTTTACCCAGCCCCATTTCGTCAGCCAGAATGCCATTGACGCCTTCGTCGTGAAGGATACGAAGCCAATTTAAACCGACCAGTTGATACGGTTTCAGCTGGCGTCTGGACGGCATAAAAAACAGTGATGATCGAGATGATCCAAGAGATATTAAAGGACCTACAGAGGATGCAGAATGACAGGTTGTTCACGAAGAAAACCTGTTTTCTTGTTTCGCGACAGATCACCGCCCTCTTTTGGCAAATCGACCGAATCGTCAGCAAGGAGACTAGCAATTCTCGACTGCACCCGTTGACTGATAGCCTCACAGCTCTTTAGCACAGAGGTGAACATAGAACGAGCTTGCATAAGCTCCTTGCAGGCATCAATGAGAGATGTGGAGAGGTAGCGTGTGGCATCGAGGCGTAGTTTGAGATCCACAACGGTGTTGAAAGGCCGTAGATTGATTATCACCTCCGCAGTCTTCTGTGAGCATCCGTTCATAAGGTTGAGCTCTTCTAGTGGAGCCTCATTGAAAAAAGTCAGTAGAGCCTTCCGCTCTTCTCTCCTCAAGCCAAACTGTTTAATGTGAGACAGATCGCTTTTATTTCATTAAGCTGATATTGTGGACAAATTGTAAAACGGTAGATAAACGTACGTCGTCCAACTCATCCGGCTCCTCCTGGGAAACATCAGGTTCCTCGATAACCTCCTCCGGAGGCCGAGTTGATGAACTTCCACGGCCCGTTCTGCGTCTACCCTGGCGCTTTTGAGCTGGTGGAAAAAAGAAAGGTAGGAATACACAAACACAAAACAATGATGCACACACCCCTCACAGCTCAAACATTTCCCGTCAAAAAGTGAAGCAAATTGAACTCCCACAGACATGCTGAGCGATTAGCATGAAGTAAACTCACCGGGAGTGCTGATGACGCCAATACCGGCCATGAAATTGGCCTCATCCTCAGGGGCCTCACCACCACCCGAGGGTTCTGCTTTAACCACAGAAGAGCGAGTAACCCGTCCGGCGGCCTGTAGCTCCTTAGCAACGTAGTCGCGTTTTTTGAGCTCAGCATCGGAGAGCCGATTACTGCGGAAAAATTTGTTGCTCGAATGACTTTTGCCTGCTCTATCCTGTGTCTCCTTGTCCTTCGTCGGCTCTTTTATAGACCCCGGAGAAGTTGACTTATCAGGTTCTGTGGTTTTAACGGCCGCTGCGTCCTCCCCCACCGCTTTGTTCGTCTCCGATGTCGCTGTCACCTGATTAAATAAGTGTCATAAGAGTCATATTATTGCGAAAGATAAACTTGCCCTCATGAAATCTTATGAAATAGCAATAGGACACAATTATGCTTAAGTCCCACTCTGACTACATCTGTCTTTTCAAATTTTTGTAAAAAGGGTGCCGTATGTCCATAGTTTGATGATCTAAGTGGGCTTCATTGTAGTATTTGTTGATGTATGGATCTTCACAGTCTCCTGCCCTCCCAAATCTTCCACACGTAGCTATAATAAGGCGACTTTTGGACACTGTCAGACAAAAGATCTGTTGTTGCAATAATTGCAACACTTGTGAATCCACCTCAAAAGAATGAATAATGTGACGCAGAAGGAAGGCAGCTGACGCGATGAGCATGTTTGAAAAGTATGGACTGTCGACAGATCTCGGGTCCTGTGTAACGGGTATAAACAAGATAAGAGAAATCCGGGATATTAGTAAAAATGTTCCAGACGATTAACGTAAAAAACGCTTTATCATTGATATTAGCATCCCTACAAACTGCGCAAAAAAGCTTATAGCACTCCAAAGCAGGTGGCTAGGGAAAACACAAATGGCAATAAAGTGGATGAAATCAAGAAAGAGCCGCATTAAGTCACTTCAGCATTCACAATTCGTTTACTGTATAACACCGTCCGGCCTTCAGCGGGACATGACAAATGAGTCCACAAAACATAACTCGGGAGTTAAACTAACTGAAATTGATACTTCTGCCCTTTTGATACAAAATTAGCACAGTATCTTTGTTCCCAAGTAGCAAGTGACTAGAACACACAGTTAACTTGCGACCAAAAAGTTATTTGCTCCTGTTTAACACCGAAATACGAGAGGCATTTCGGCTTCTCGTGAAGTAGCATGCACAGCGATGGTTAGGGTCTCTGTTCAAGTTGCTAAAGCTGAATCTAAAACCAGGATACCTCCTGGATTGTTTCGCATGGCTATAGCATCCTACTTTGGCCATTTAAGTAGTATGGCTCATAAAGTCACATTATTTCCACACCAATTTGGACAGAGGAAACTAAACCCAGGAGAACGACGGGGTTAGGTAAGAGGTCAAAGAAGCGCTAAACGCTTGCAGAAGTTTAGCAAATTGGTCGCAGCATTTGTAACTCCCACTGAGGAATATAAAGTAACTCAAGAATGTCAACAGCGGTCCATCAGAACCTCCATCCCTTGTGACAAGAGCAATGTATTAAGTTAAATCTGTTAAAGTAGAGTAGCACGAACCATGAATCGCAAGGTAGTGAAATCAAGGGAGTGTATAAAGGTAGCTAACCGTTGACTTAGAGGTCTCCTCAGCAGATTCATTCAGGTTGAATTCACCACCAGGCAAACCGGGATAGGATATACTCTTCGGTGTGGCCAGCCTCTGTCGAGCTACCAACAGGTTATGTGGGTCAACCTGCCGTACAAAATTGCGTTCGGTCACCTCGGCAGCCTCCACTGAGCCGTCTTTTCCAACGATAACTCGACGATAGTACTTGTTCTCCAGCTTTCGAGCAGGCCGACCACGGAATGAAGGCATGTTGATCAACTCAGGAGACTTAATATTTGGGATTATGCGGGAGGGTTTTGGCTTCTCAGCTTGAAAAAAAAGGAAATAACGAGTGACTAAGGGCTTGATTGTAATGCCCATGACTGTGAGCTACAACCCACATTTGGGAGTGAGAATGAGTTTAAATCTAGCACGTTCTTCCTCCTGTTTATTACGCAGTTCCAAGAGCTCAGCATAGGTCTTGTTGAAATCCAGGAGGTTTTTTGTGAAGCATCGGTCAATGTGACAGCGTTTGAATTGGGGAAAGTGAGCTTGGAGTGTGGAGATTTTTGTGTGCGAGTCGGACCCCTCATATGTTCGAATTCTTGTTTCGACTCTGAAATAGAAAATACCAGAATTGTAAAAAAGCTCACAAACAGGTTAAATATTATTTTTAAAACCAACACAAAAATGCCTCCTACAGTTTGTGCGTTTTAAGATGTCTGAAGTAATTTCAAGCAGAGAATTCACGCAATAAATAAGGCTACAATTTGACTCAAAAAGTTGAGCAAAAATGTAGTCTCAAGTGAATAGAAAGATACAAACAAGATCAGAGCGGATTTCAGAGGCCGCCCATATGCTATGGGAATGGGTTATCAATCAAACCTGTTTTCTGCAAAACAAACTATTTGATGGGGCGACATTAAGGCTAAGACATTTGTAAATTCTGCAACTCCCGCCCACAATCCCGTAAAACGCTAATCCTACCTGAGATAAATTTGCCAGGACAACACAGATTTGTGAAGTAAGCAGCCTGTTTGGTTACTTTTTGATTGCAAAGTAAAGTCAGGCCTTAGAAGCTGACGCAAACTTCATGAAGAAAGACTTATTTCAAATCCTCTAACAACTACCTCGTGTTCACTAAGATTTGCGCTTAAGTTGGATCCGCCAAAATAAGGCAAAAAGCTGTGAATCACACACTGAGGTCGTGACATTCGACTACAGAGCCAGGCGATTCATTAAGAAACGTCAGACTATAAGAATTAATATTGCTTTGAAGACAAACGTTCCGTGAAAAACATTGTTCCTTTCAACACTTAATAATACAGTTAGCCAGCATACAGTACTCATTAGAATCAGTGTGAATTGAATAAAAAGGGATTACACAAAATCCCATATCAAACAGTAAGGCTATAAGTGATTGAAAAACCAAGCAGTTTGGTAAGGTATGTCACGTCATAAGATATCCAAAACAGTTAACCAATGTTCAGTGTTCATACGAATTCACGCGTGAATTACATGACCATGGGTATCATAGAATCACGCCGTAGGCGGAACTAGCGTGAACACACTTCGCTGTGCAATGGAACGACCGGTTAACGAATGAGGTCAGATTTGGGATTATTTTAATAGCATGCATCACGCATTGTTTGTAAAGACACGCCTACTACAGTAACGATAGCAAATTATTGTAAATATAAACTACATAAAACCCATGAGAGCCAAATAAGCCGCAAAATGAAAAATACAAAAAGCCGAATTTCTACTCACATCTCATTGAGCGGTTTATAGGATCCACGGGGTCGGACTTTTGGTTTTCCAATTTGCATGAAAGGCGTGTACTGTGGAGCTATGGGCGCCGAAGATGAGGAGGGGGTTTTGGGCGAACCAGTATTCTGGTCTCCAGATGGCTGCGTGGCAGGGACATCGGCAAGGGCTATGAGGTTATGAGGTGATAACAAATGGGGGCTTACTATCAAGATTAACCACAAATTTGGGCTGTTCTTCGGTGCCTGCAAAAATGTGAAAATTAGGGGTAACCCTGCGGTCATAGTAACGAACAGAGGGACAATTAACAGGGCAATAGTACTAGACGAATACTTAATATACTACTATGCCAATTATAGTAGAAATTATAAGAAAATAAAATCGACATTTTTTAAGCGGGAATATTAGACAAACGAAAAAAAGATAGAGGAAAAGAAACAGTTCATAAAACGCGACCTCTAACCTGTGTCAATACTGATACTTTCTAAAAAGGATTCCGAGTTGCATTGGCTTGTATAATCACTAATTTCGTCTCCCATGATAAACTCAGTGATATGCGCGACTGCCAAAAAGGCATGAATTTTTAATGTTTATCAAAAAATTTAATCCTTTTATGAGCGCAACCCAAGCGCTAATGAAAAGAAATCCGTCCAAATAATGTAAAACCGAAACTACAATGGCTAACGAAATTTCCCATTGGTTCAACAAAACAAAAGTACCCTTTCTACATTTAATTGGCGTCTGTAAGTAATCGCAATTTTTAGAAAAAAATTATTCGCAAAACTTTTTGACAATGCATTTAAATACCAGTGTATTGGTGAATGCATTAAGTTTGACAAATTTAACATCACAAAATTGGAATAAATCGGTTTAATCTTTGACGCATGATGCAAGTGACAAAACCCCAAATTAAAAACAAAAAACCCATATGTATGTTAATTGAAATTACTAAGAACGCGTTGTGGGTAGGTTTCACCAGATGTTGAGACCCCTACCACTTATTTGTCGAATAATTACTTAATAGATGTGTTTAAAATATGTAAACATGGTGCCGCTTCAAGCAAGCTTCTGCTTTTATAAGCCTGATTCTCATAAATGGAACGCGTTCACAATGAAGCTTGACTACACCACTAGAATGCAAAAACTATTCGAACATTTCCCTCTTAAAGCACATAAATGTAGTGTCCTGAGACTTCCCGGCATGGGCCGAAGACCAGCTACCACGCGTGGTGCAATACCCAGGTCAAAAGTGGCTCTTTGACAAAACTGAAATTTAAACAATCATCGATTCACATAAAAACCTGCTTTCTGCTGTAGCTGAAGCGCTGCGAGTCTTCTTTAAGGCCGATTGAAGGCCTGGTACTCGAGCAGGATATATATATGGACATATTCGACATTCAGTGGGGCTTGCATTAACTGACGTGGTCTGAGGGTGCAATGGCGGAGACCCGAAGTGGCCTCTTCCCTAAAACCGAGACTTAACCTAATAACCAAAATATTACCGTGGCTCCACCTGTTTTCAGGTCGTAGATTTTTCGAATACCCGTTCGCTTCTTGCATCTAGAACAGATTTATGTCTGGTAAACTAGATTATAACTTTCCAATCTTGTAATTAGTTAAGGCATTTCTTTGGATCCCTTCATTCAAGTACTCTGCCTGATCTTGACTAACAGTGTGTGAGGCCGAAGTAAGAAGTTGACATCTCTCGGATGGTGAGCACTTATGCCATTCATGGGACTCTGGGATTGCGCTTGAGTCGTAGCCATGGTATTTGGTCAAGAAAAACCTGTATGAACCAGAAAATCATGAGCTTTACTTTAAAGCCGCTTTTGTCAGCTCAGCCTTCTTCACGATCACGCCACCAGGACTTAAAAGAAAAACCGTTTACAGAAATGACAACACTTCAAAATCGCTGATCGCTTGTAATGTCAACTCAGTAATGCAATCCCGAAGTTGGGGTTTTTTTGGTGCAATTAATGTGTGTTTCTGCCCACACAAATTATAAAGTATTTCTACTTGGTGCTTGGAATGACTAAAAAATTTCACGCGGTAATTATTCATGCATAAAAACTGAATTAGATTTTCATGCATGCAAATTTCCTTCCTAGTTACCTTTTGCACGAGCAAATATATTATGCGTCCCAAATAAAATAAACACTAGACATCTTATTTTTTCTCAAAAAAAATAGAGATGTAATGATGAAATCAAGACAACATTCAGGATGTCAAATATGTAATTGCCGTCCGCCCGCTTTATTACCTAAAACATTAAGTAATGTCATTAGTTGAGCAAATAATTTTGATTTTTTAGAATTCCAACGCTGTTGCAAGGAATTGTGGCAGTTTTATTAATTCACTAATTGTTTGAGGTCTAATTTCATGCTCCAACTAGGGTACGAAATAGACGCAGACGCCGGTGACTAGACGCGCATAGATCGTAGGTTTGATTGAATCAGAGTGAAAGACTGGAATCCTGTAGAGCAGTGGTAACTATTTAGATTTAAGTTGATTTAATCCAAAGAGACGCTTTCATTCTTCATGTTGCTAATGAGAGGCAGGGCAGTATTTTCTAAAACAGAGAAGATGTAGTGGTCGGTGATTAATTTTGGGAGTAAGCACTACTTTTTCCGCCATTTAAAATCATTCTGTTTTATGTAATTACTTGCTTTTTGAAATGTGGCTCAACAACTTTATTACCAGTGTCTGAAGAGAGGGCGGGGTGGAGGACCAACCGCCCCCAGTCAGTTGTTACATTGTTCACATATAAGACCACCAAGTCGACCAATTCAACCGCTGCTTGGGGACTAGGAAAACATAAAATTATCATCAAAGCAGAAACATTCCCAGCTATGCCGATGATGCCACGGTTTGAAGCAGCCGGCTATGTCAAAATGGTAGCCGACACACGTCACATATTTGTGACGCTGAGTTCAGATAAGAAAAGTAGTTTGCTGGTAGCAAATGTGTCCACTAAGGGACTCAATACGAGAAATGTACCTCCGTTTTTACAAAGAAAGAAGCATTTGACTTTTAATTGGATCATTTAAATGGGTATTTATTAGTTGGGAACAGAAACGGTATTACTAATGAATCAAAGACCTACACAGGAGCAGAAGATCTGAGCTCATTTTGAGTAGGAAGTATCTGCGGCAGAGGTGTCTCATTCGATGTCTTCTCCACGCCCAGTGGTGTTCCATTGCAACCTTGTCCTCTATCCAAACCGCTGGGTCGCCAAAAGTAGCTCTCGTAGATGCTCATGAAGTCGTCATGAATGTTGCGTCTTCGTAGGGATTTGGTGGACTCGACAATCTTGCGACAGACCACATCACGATCCTGTAAGTAGCGACGGTACTCGGCCGCGTCCTCCATAACTGGACGCGGGTCGGGAGTCCGATGGTTGAAGATCGTTTTAGCCTCCTCCAACTGCTGAGTGACTTGAAAGAGGAAGCGACTGGGAAGTACTCTCGTCTCATCGTAGAGCCGGAACCTATGAAGGTGAAAGGACCATGACAGAAGCTTACCACCCATCTAGCATATCCGCAGGACAATCAATGTAGCTCTTTTCAGACAAGAGGCCTTCCAAGTGCCTGTTTCCTCCCTCTATTCTCAAATTCACATGGCACCTGATGCTAGTTCTCACCATGTCGCCATCAGAACTGACACGTGACGCCATTCGCTAAGTGGAGAAGTTGTAATATTATTTCGACCTCAAAACAACCGCAACATCTGACTTTTAACTTGTGACAACAAAAACTTTACCATCTACAATTACAGAAGTTGCATAAAATCTGAGACATTTTGATGAGAAGAGAAGAGAGAGAGAAAGAAAATGATTACCTATTGCCTTTACCGTCGACACAAATTTGACCCATGTCCTCCATCAACTCGTCATGAAGGAAGAGGAGGTCGAATTCCATCTTCCCCTGAATACCAAAAAGAAGAAAGAATGGGAAAAATGAAGGCAGACTCAGAGATATTTACACTTCTGGGTAGTTGGTATTCAGTAGTTTGAGCGGCAGAGCCAGTGAAACAGGGAAAAAAATGAGGTGCCGTAAAAAAATCAGTCAAGGTGACGTTATTTACAAAAGTGACTGCCTTCCGTTCTCACAGAGAATCCGATAAAAAAGACATTTAATGAGAAAATAGGTAAGATTTTTCATTCTTTTTGCCGAAAATTCAAACTCAACACTTGAGCCACTGAAATGACTGTTTTTGGACGGAAGTGGGTGTTGTCGGTTGCTGTGAGGGAGTAACAGGGAGATTTTTAACAACACAATCCCCACTTTCAATCTGTCATGTCTTTCCGATGAGGCATTAAGTAGGTGCGCCTCTGGAAGACAAACAAATCACCTGTAGTCCCGGCCACTTCCATCCGCTTCTATTAGCTCACTTCTGTCATGCAAGCATGCGTCAAATGCCAAGAAATGGTAACAGTCATTACTGGGGAGTCCTGACAGTGCATACAGAGGATGTGGATGAGGCAACGTCTCTCTCTCTCTCCCTCTCCGATCTACCTCCATCCCTCCCATTCTAATGGTCGTCAGCTGTCGCATCGCACACCCAACAGTTCCATTCTGCCCTATTTCATAGTGTCAAGTCTTGTCGTTTCGACCGGCGTCTATTGTCTGACTTTCAGCAAGCCATCCACACATCCACACGCCTCAACACACGCACACAGACGGACAGACTAATTAAGTAGTCTTGTGGTGATGCGTTGGTGTTGAGGGAGGTTGTCTTAGAGGTTCGCGGTGAGATTCTGAGTGAGCTTGAGTCCATGGCATTCCACATCCCCATGGAAGATGTGAAGATTGACAAGTCATTTCGATAGTCTTTCATGCTCATTGTCTGCTGTCAGAGCATTGTGGAAATCATTTGTCCAGTAGCCTCCTTCTCCAGTGATCTGATTGTCAACCACATCTTCACACACCAACCTCCAGGCACTTGAACCAAGTAGTGACAAATCATTCCTCGTAATTACTGAGAAGAGCGTACCTCTACCAATATGATGTCCCCATCGTTGAGTGATTCCTGAAGAATGCTAAGTGGTTTGGATAGTACCTTGTTCTGCTCCGCACCGCATACCACACACAACACTTTCTCTAAGTGCTGTACTGAGGAGAGCCTCTACAAATCCTGGAAGCGAGTTAAGCTGACTTTTTGAATGAGGGGGTGGAATTACATCCACTAGACGTTTACCCGGCACTTGATGACATGAGGGTTGACATTTTACGCTGCAAGCGTAGAGGCACAGCCACATTTGACCTACAACTACCCTGCAATGCGGTTACTGGTCACAAGCAATTCCGATGGGAACCATAAAATAGAAGTTCCATCAGCTTGGTTAATCAGGGCCTTCGCTAAGACGCTGTAAGACGTTTTCAAAATTCACTATCTTGACTTTTATGGCTGTAAATGTCCAGGACACAGAATGAGAGCTCCAGGAGAGAGCGATGATGAACTCGTAAATCTGCCATGAATTCTCTAAGTTCCACGGCCACCTTCACTCCCACATCATACCCTCCAAGTGAACCATGGGGTAGAATGGAGCAATCCAAGAATAATAATGACGTTGACAACTTAAGGTAATACCGAATTTCCTAGATGGTACTTTTAAACTGCCTAAGGAAAAAAAAGTTGATATTTTTAGTTAACAAGGTGCGGTATGACGTGTGTAAAGAGAAAAATGTGGCACAAATGTGGGAGACTTTTACAGACGATAATCTGAAGTGCAGTGTGATATTTGCTTTTTTAAGGTTGACATTTCATTGAGTGTCACTTGTGGCTAAAAATTCATGCCATTTTCAGACAGCACAACAGGCGGTTGAGTCAAGTGCGATTGCAGCATAAAACGTCAACCCTCAAATCAACAGGTGTCGGATTGGATTTTACCCCATTTGAGTCAGAAAGGCGGCTTAACTCGCCATCAGGGGAAGTGCAGCACTTGGAGAAGAAGGCGTTGCCACCTTCCTGTTGGGTGCAAGAGGGAGGGAGATGCCGTCTTATCATCATTTTTCTGACATTTAACACACACAGTAGGCACTTGGATGGTAAAAGTGAGGTGAAAGAAGTGGACGGGGATGGCTAGGCCTACAGGTGGTGCCTTGTCTGATCACCTACGACCCAGCTCAATTGCACTTCTCGGGAAACAATGAAGTCTTTGGGTTCCGGTTACTCCATTCGGGTGCTCAACAGGTTCGAATCCCCTAAGCACATAATTACCGGTTCATAAAACGTTTTCACAATCCCGGTCTGCTTGATCACTGTTGATTCTTAGCCTGCACGCCTAAGCAGATCATTTGGGGGATGTTAGACTCCAACAGGATAGTTCTCCCGTACCAACGAAGCTTTTTAAGGCACTCTACGCAATTCACAAGTCAACGTACTAGCTAGGAGGCAGCAAGAGATAGCAACATAGAGAAGAAATTACGGATTAGATAAATAGGAAGGGAAAGCGAGGGAGAGGAAGGAAAGGGTACCTGTTGAGCGGCTAGAATCTCCGCTGCATCATGATGTCTCTTGTTACGCAGATCGTTGCCGTTGACAGCAAGAATAGCATCACCGACATAGAATTCACCGCTTCGTTGTATTACTCGATCAGGAATAATCTCCGAGATTAGGATAGGCACCCCGTACTCAAGGCCTCCAGTAATGGAAATACCCAACTCGTCGGTGGACGAACGGTGCAGGGTTACGTGCCGCACCCGGTTGCACACCTCCTTGGCTATTGTAACACGGACCAAGGGGAAAAACAGTCAGGAAATTGGCAATAAAAGAGACAATTTGGTGAGAAACAGCCAAAGGTTTTCTGAAAAGGAGTACGAAGCTTGCTAACTGTGCGTCGACAATACATATTCTGCCCTCGTATTATGTCCCCTTTCACCTTCACGGAAGTCTCGCGGTGCTACATAGAGCTCATAAATTGCAGGAAATAGGACAATAAAGTGAACGATTCAGAAAGGGTGGATTCTGGGCGGATGGATGTGGCATAGGAGAGGGATTACACCTGCTTTCTACTCATTTAGCTTGATTTTCCATGATTAATGTCGCCTATTGCAAGAGTACCTCCGACTCCGTCCATCCGACCAGCGGTGGTGTCAATTCACTCATTATTAGTCATCAGAAAATTTTCTACAAAGGTTCCACAAGCATTTATTCTTCAATCCAGATATAACGGACCACTGCTAAACCGCACTCAAAAGACTTCACTTTAGCCTGGCAATCCGTCTCCCTCGCCTTCCAATAAAACGACCCCATAGGCTATACGATCTTGCGGCCATAAACGGTGGGGAGATGGGTGCGGACGCTAAGGTCTCGGCGTGCTTACTCATCCACCGAGCGATGGGCAGCCAAATTTTCAAACAAATGAGAACGCCAATGTGCCTAGTAGAAGTTCACTTAGTGACCGCATTATAATGCCGTTTGTCATTCTGCCCATTCATTGCCTGTCATCAACAGATAAAATCGTCTCGGGTGTTCTGACAGCGAGTAATATCTAAATGGAAGGGATCACGAAAATACCGGTAATAAATAAACCTGCCTTCATATGCACTCTTAAAATAATGGTTTTCTTTAAATTCCGCGCTGAAAATTGCGATGCTACTGAATTATGGCGTAGACCAATCAGTAGTATGCTACGCTCAAAAGACTTAAATTAATTAAATTACCAGTAGGAGAAGAATTAACTGATAATTTGCTTAAAATTACTTCATATATTTTGGTGGTCTGCCATTTGTCAATACTATCGGGCATGAATTCGAATATAGGACCGTATTTAGTTGTGGCATCAGATCTACTTTTTGTGAACGAAATCGCCAGAAGCCAGGCCGAAAAGAGCGGGTGGGAGTACTTACACACACATACACTCACACCCACAAAATAGCGAAAGAAAAAGATGATGATACTTAACAGCCCATACAGATGGTTAAACGATACCGAAGAAGGAGGAGGAGGAGAGAAAGGATTAAATTAGATTTTAAAAAAAAATTGGGAATAACTTCTCGGCATTATAAATCATTTAGGAGTTTTGCTTTCAGGGTCATATTTGGTCGGAAATGGGAAAGTGGTTGTTAATGAGCATGCTTAGGCCTTAACCCTCATTCGCAGTAGAGCTTGGTGCGATGACCTGTTGTGACGTGTACGAACTTGTAGGTCGAGCGCGATGGCTTTCACGCATGCAGCAAAAAATGTCAATCCTCATATTATCCGGTGTTGGTTGAACGTCTGGTGCATGTAATTACACCTCGTCTGATTCAAAAACTCATCTCGACTCACTTCCAAAAGTTGTGGAGCCTCCTTGTTAAAATGGAGGCAGAGCATTTGGAGGAAGGTGGGATACGTGTGTTGTGGTGTGTAGCAGAGCAACACTGTCTAAAGGTGGTTCAAATCGAGTCATCTAAAAGTCTGTACGAAGCCTTCAATGAGGGGCGTATCACGCTGAGAGAGACGCTCCGCTCTTGGGAATTATGAAGAATGTCTCTTGGATCAAGTCTCTGTAGATTGGTGGGTGAGCAAGGACCTTCTTCGCCATTCCCTTAAGTATGAGTAATGAGGCAAGTGGTTGAGAGTCAGGTCACCCGAGAAGGAAGCGTGACGAAGTTACTATGCAACTGTACTAACAGATGATGGGAAATAAGCTACAAAGACTGATCTGCACTTTAGGAGGGAGAAAGAAGGATAGTATTTCAACCACCTCGATAGTTCCTTGGTGATATTTCCCCCTTTTCTTGACATCAAACTCTCCTATATTCAATCTTAAAAGAGGACAGAGAGGTCGAGAATAAGAATGAAATTGAAACGGCGATAACTAAGGCTAGGCAGAATCACCAAGCTAGCTTATCAGCGAGAAAGGATTACTTCAGTTGGCTGGTCTTTTTCGTTTGTTTCAACATATTCGCTCAACGTAGAAGGAGAATGCTCACAATGAAGTGGAAACAGTGGACCTCAGCAAAGCCCGTTTACTTATGAACAGCAAAATGCGCGTAAGTTGTTGGTAATGCTGATGCCTTAAGGTTTTGTTAGCAGTCTTCCAATGTACCTCATTCGAGGATTCATTTTTGCGTTTCCTTTACGCAGTGACAAGAGATGGCTGGTCTTGCAGTAGTAGATGGATCACCAATCGAGATAAGCAGCTATACATTGGACGCAATTTGACAAATTGGTCAGAGCTCCGTGATAGAACTGTAATTATGAGTTCAAGTTCATCACTAGAATGGTGATTTTAGCAGTAAGAAGGAGTTGTTTGCGTTGAAAGGAGGGAGGAGGTGAGTAGTCCTTAGCATTTGTAAAAGTAATGAACTGACAGCTAACTGGACTATAGATAAACGGACATATCCACCTTCGAAAAAGTTTTGCATACTTTTTTTTTACCACCGTCGAGCCAATTGAAAGAAGTAAGTAAAAACGGATGGATGAACTGGTAGGTGAATAATTGGATAGAGCCAGGATCTGCGGCTGGGCAGACGTAAAGAGGTTTATAAGCAATTCAAAGATTGACGTTGATACCAAAAAATTTTAAAGAATTGGAAACGAATGGATGGATAGCTGAACTTAGGAGATCTCTGCCTAACTCATTCACTACCAACATTTATTCACTATCAGAAAATGAAATAATGCTCCAACTATTGTATATTTACTGTCAAAAGTGGGTGCTCTTACATTTCGTATGGTTGATTTTTATTCTAATAAGATAAAGAAAAATAAATTAGTGAGAAATAAGCAAATTCTAAATCACTCCCCGATGTATCTTCTCAACTTACCTGGAGGTGGATCCAGTCTTCCTCGGCACGTAAGATTGACTGTCTTGTGTCTACAAAGAAGTATTTCTGATTCAAGAGTGTTCCACAACCGTTCGTATTGAGGACCTTCCATTTTCTGGCAAAGGAGTTGAATCTGCTGAATTCGACCTGTGAGTTCCTTGTACAAGTACTTGGCTGCCATGCGTGTGCCATATAATTCATCCTTGTAAAAGAATAAAAACTTATTAATTCTGTGGGCAGTTAATGGTTTCTACTTGCCTAAAAACTAGCTCTGACAATGTTTGCTTATTCTTTTTCGTGTTCAAACAAGAGAATGAGTGACGCATTTGCAGCAAAAATTAAGGTGGGTAAAACTGACCATTTTACAAAAAGACCTATACATACGCTGTCTTAACTATTTGTTCACGAAACAAAAAAGCCAAAACTAGATTACATTTACCATTACACACCTGTAGGGCAGTAATATATGCTTTAAGTTCCAAATTTTCCTTAGTCATGATTGCGATTGCAGATCTTAGTCGATCACATATCATGAATTGACTTTTCCTTTCCTCATGCTGTTTCTCCAATGAACGTTTCACATTTTCCGCTAAAGTGTCCGAGCCGTTTGTGGACGATAACTTCAACTGAATACTGTGTAACTCAAGCAGTAGGTATTCAACTTCTTTGTCTAAGAAAGACTTTTCAGCAACGGCGGTTTCCAGATCACTAGCTAGCATAATCTCACGTGCCTAAAAACGTTAAGTAGAATAAAATTTAATACCTCAAGCCTTGACAGGTTCTCATAAGCAGCTTGAGCTTTTAGAGAAGTGTCGGAAAATATCGAAGTCAGCTTATTGAGAAGTTTGATAAACTGGTCCTTGTCTGAGGATAAATTTACCTTGCTTCTAATAAGCACATCCAAGTTTAGATGAACTCGATCAAATTCCCTCTCGTTAGAGTCTAGTGATTCAAATGCGTCTTTTGATGTCATACGTTTTCGAGCACCACGAACCAAAAGTATAATTGAACCAGCCGCCCAACAGCGCAAGATTTAATATTGCTGAGGGTAGAAGCGAAATGCACCTACTAAACAAGTCAAGGTCTACAAGCTCCTGCTTAGTTATTTCTGATGCCTAAAATAAATGCTATATATTAACTAAAATTAGCAATTTTGTTAAGTATCATATCCTGCATTGTGTGATAAAAAAATAGCACTTTAATTATCAACAAGTTGTTAAAGTTTTAAGCAAAAGCGCAGTCGCAAATCCTTCGATCTAGTGTGTCATCAAGCCTGAAGTAACGTTATTATGCCCAAATGTGGTAGTAAGCAGCTAACCGAATTAGGATGAGGACCGAGTAGCCTAGGCCCCCACACATCCAAGACGCAGCTGTAGCGTCCCAATACCTTCCTGAAGACGAAAGAAGGCATAACACTCGAGCAGAACACATATTCAGCACAGAGGTATTTGGGCTACTGGCGTGGCCCGGAGACCAGTTCACCCAGCGAGGTACAGGAAGGCAGATTTAAATGCCCAAAAGCGGCGCCTCACCAACACCGAGGGGTAGACCACCGCCGCATTTCACAGCCCCGCAGACCCTACCATTGGAGAACAACCTCCAAGACATCAATATGTATTCAAACAGGCGCAAGATCGCTGGTCTCAAAGCCAACAAAATTGGGGTACACACAGACGTCAGAATGAGTAGGAAATTGAGGCCGGGAATATGCAGCACATTGAGAAATGTTCGATTACGCACACGTAAGGTCCATCACCTGCAAGAAATACAAACACACGTACATTCAGCACATTCATTTATGACCTTATTCCCACCAATAAACTCACTTTAACATCAGATGTATTATCAGCCACAAAGATTCGAGAGAGTTCACGGCCGGCAAGAGCGCCAATTTTCTCCGAATGGACAAATCGCTGACCTACGCCGCCACAGGACATCTCCCAAAGGAAGAAGCAACAATCGTCGCCGCCGCTTAGCAGATGCGAGTTCTGAGTAAAAAGGAAGGGAAGCGATTACCCCAAATTGCATTGTAGAGTATCGCTGAGTTAAAACGTATGTAACTGGCAGTGGCATCAGAGCACTACACTGCAATGCCTACTTCGTGACAGTCCTAAAAATGTCCTCGGCTAAAATTGAAATAGGCATAACGTGGTGTTTAGCAAAGACAGAATAAATTTGGGTCAGAGGTCACCTGCTAATTGTGGCAGTTCAAGAGTTAAATACTAGGATCTAGCAGCCAAATGTGTCGAAAGCTCTTGCAAAAGTAAGAACTGCATTGAGAACGTTGCGGGTTAAGGCACTGGAGCGTGAAGTAAGTCTACTAACACGTCGAGGCTGACTTAGCGCTAATTTTGAATCAGAAAACAAACACACCTGATGCGGTCAAAGGTAAATTCTTAATTTCGTCTAACATTGTCATGAACAAATCACTGGTACATGATATCAAAGTGGTGCGATTATTTTCTGTTATTTCGACACCAGTTATAATACAGTTTCAAGTACGTAAAGTTAAAACCTGGAGACAATATTTTCTTATTAAGTTAAAACTAATGTGACTTCTTCAAAGTAAATTATACACAAAATAAAATACCTACTCCAATAGGCAGTAACGCAGCAACTGATCGCCTGTGGCCAAGGAGGGATTTAACATGTCGGAGATTCCTGTCACCCTGAAATACTTCCACGGTGCCATTACCAAGACCGACGGCAACATAGTCACCCGACTCATCGCAACCAAGACTGTGAATCATCGGTGGGTTGAATGGAAAACCCGGGCCCAAAGCACGTGTTGCCATCATCTGCCTAACCTCCTCGGGCGTGAGTGACGATGCGATCTTCAAAGTGGAGAGAGAAGGATTGAGTCACAACGCTAATTGAAGCCTTCATTACAGTAGAAACGTGGACTCTCACCACATACACTTCACAATACCTGATCAGGGGAAATAGCAAATGCCCTTAACAAGTCTATCACCAGCGTTACAATGATATGAGGCACTAATTTTCTTGCTTCGTTAAAAAACTTACCATAACTACCGGTTACAATAAAGCAAGCTGCAAGGAGATTGATTTAGAAAAAAAAACAAATATTAGTGAGGACAGTTACGCTTTCCAGTATCTATAAAGCCGCAAATAAGTGCTACGGGAATGAATAACAATTGATGCTACGTTAGAATGAAAAAAACCTGAATTATGATAACTGAGTTTCTTCTGAGACTCAGGCGTCGATCGTATGAAGATGCAGTTAACATGAGGCAGATAGGAGACAGCAGATATTGCTAAAACTTACAAGAAATGAGGCTGTGCCCCAGCCAGTTTTTCTGTTCCCTCTTCTTCTACAGGGGGCTTCACCTTCATTCAAATATGTATCCAATAAACTAACATAGCGACGAGGATCAACGAGATCAGCCATTTCTAGGGTTCTGCACCTGTGACCAATGGCTTTCCAGTCGCGCACAACAAGGCGACAGTCCAGGCCGCAGGAAATGAGCTGGTCTTGCCAAAAGGGACGAAATCTGACGGCAGAACAGATATTGTCATGGTCTTGAAAGACACGCGTAACTTCCCCAGTTAGCGAGGAAACCAGGGAAACTACCCCAACATCATCTGCTGTGGCGAGACACTCGTCTTGTATGTCCACATCAATGCAGTTTATTTCATCAACACTGACCTTCCAAACATTTACTGGAGTCTCATAATTACGAAGATCCCAAAAGACAATGTTTCCGCCGTAGGAGGAGTAAAATACATCAGAATCATCCCCAGCAAAAGCAATAGCTGTGCAAGGCTCAGAGGATGGGGATAGGACGGTGAGAAAGGTGCAGTTATTTGGGGGCGAGAGATGAATACTACCATTTTCGAAACCACGAGCCAAAAGCTTATTCGAGAAAGAAAGACACGAGACGGTATCGGGACCGGAGAGACAAGTTAGCACAACCATCTGTTTATTACTTTGACGCACGAAGTTCAGCAATAAGTGATGGGCGGTGGCTAAAGGCGTAGAAAGATGGTCGATTCCCAAACGAATCCCAAGAACTGGGACGGTAATTAGACGGAAAAAAAAACATACTTGTTACGAGGATCAGTGGTGGTGCTTATTAATGAGAAATCACCAGCAACACGGACAACACCGGCGATTGTGATGACCAATCCTATAATTGTTTGCCAAAATATCTAAACTCAATAAAACAAAAGTGAAACCCTACGTCAGGTGGCAAATAGTCGAAGTGCACCCCAGTAAGTTTGAGATACGTGCGATCTGAAAAGAAAAGGAATAAAATGCAACACGACTAACGCTGTATGGCAGAATATGCGGCGTGTACCAAAGTAACAAGTCCAAAAATAACAAGGCACCGTCCTAACTCAACCATCGCATAGTTAGTGGCAGTGCAGATAAAGGGCGCACACTGTCCATTGACTAACTTTACACGCATCGTTGAAATACACCTTAGAGACTACATACATTTATGTCCTCACGATTTTAAACCAAATAAAATTTGCCTTCTTTGTTGCATTTTTCCGTTCGTTTTAGAGATTAAGCATTTTGTCACTTTAGTTGCCACTCTAATCTGGGTGAACCTCGTGTAAGCCTGATATTTGAACCAGTTTTTTTTCATAAATTGTTATTGTGTAGTTAGACATAGACAATTTTTGTGTTTTGGCTAGACTCCTATTAGTATTAAACCGGCACCTTCCTACCTTCCACTGATGAAGGAAATACTCAACCCCCAGAATCCACTATGTTAATACTTAGTAACTCTTTCTTTGACCAGTCCAAAAATATGCTCGACCATCCCTGGAGCTGCAAAATTATCAGAAAACAGGATCTTCGGTTGCATAAGTCGCCTGTGGCAGATCGCGACACCCCACTACACGTGAACGCCCAGCGGGTCGAAAAATCGCACCGACCCGAGCAATTCGGACGCATGAGCCTAGGTGCCTCCGAACAGTACAGGTCCACATCTGATTCCCACGCTTATCGGAAGCCTCTAAGAACCTGTGGAATCTATAATTACCCACTTACACCCCAAACGAATGACTGGAAAGGAAAAGTAATAAAGTATATTCACATATTTTGTTATAACTGGAAACCAAGTCATCGAGGTTGTCACACTTTTGGCTGGCTATGAAGATTCTGACTACAAATGTAAAGGAAAATAACAGAACAATCGTAAAAGGGAATTAGCTAGTGTCCAAACTTACATAGAATGACTCAGAGCCTCCAACTTGTTCACCAGTGTCGACAAATTTGATCTTGACGTCTTTCTTCCCTCCTCCATCAATAACCTACAGACAGGAAGTGGCGACAAAATGACATAAGGATGATTATTAATTTCAATCATGTAGATTTAATTCTAAATTTAACGCACGACTCTAATCTGTACACAAAAATTGTTGACTAACAACCTTACTGTTACGTAATAACTTTGAATCTTTTCATAAAAATGCCCACATACCGTCGTGCTTGCTGCCGATTTCGTCCTGAGATGGGTCCAGCCGTGCTCTGCATTTTATTGTCCAACTCAAAATGAAGAAGCATCAGTTCTTCCTGCTGCTCCCTAACTGCATCCAATTTGTCATAAGGACAGTCCGCACCTAAAAAAGGATACATTTCAGCTCCTAAGATTATACCAATAAACGATACAAATTGTAGGCTGTTAGAAGTTAACTCAGGTCTTAAAACGGGTGGGATAAAATAGGACATGACAATGCAAAAGATACCAACAGAAACTATTTTTCCAGCCTCAAAATCCTCGAGAAGACGAAGCATTTTTTCCTCCATGTGACGAACATCGTCAATGTTGGCCCCCAAATTCTGCAGCACATTGCTTCTCAGAATGTCTACAATTTATGTATTCAGCATCCCTCAACGCAAACCTGGAGCATCTGATTGTCCTGCCGATGTTTTATGGGGCATATTTTCGGTTCTAAGTCTGAAAATGGGCAACACTGCACTAAAAAAAGGTTTGGAGGAAATGGTTGGAAACTAATGCAGGAATTCCACCTGCAAATGAACTGGAATCACCGAACCTAATTGACTCCAAACTCATCTACAGAGTCATTTTGAAATTTAAAAGATGTAAGCAGCACGCTTTCAAAAAAATATGCAATAGGTCTAAGTAAAGGGGTAACTGCAGCTTACCACACACCGGACAAAACATATGTACCGCGCAGTGATTAGATAAATCAAATGAAACCTGTGGTATAAATACGATTAGTACCTTATGAGAAAAGTTAATTTGTTGCTCTACTTTAGATAAAATACTATGCAATCATACTGTTAGAATAAATAATCAGCACTTGCATGCAGGATGGTATGTCACCAGTAATGGTTCCTTATAGTAACAAATGTATGTGACAAATGTCTAACAAAAGTAGCTCTTCAAGACTTCCTTAAAGATAATAGAGGGCCTTATACTCAGGCAAAATATATATTTTCGACACACAAAAGGTATCTGCGCCACTAGCGTGGTCTGAATTCCCGCCAACCCGGTGAGGTGCCATGGACAGGCTACAAAGTGGCCCTTTACCAGAACCGACCGCTAAACAAACAACCAACGTATTACACAGCCCTTAAGCGTTGTCTCTGTTCCCCACTTGGTCAGCCTCTCACGTCAGCCATCACAGCGTAGCCGATGCTCTAAGGAAACGTCCACGAGCCGGCCGTGCCTGTCATCGAACTTCTATGCAACTGAGGAGAAACTTGACCGCTGCCGCTGGTCACCCTTGCCAAATTAACTAAATTAGGTATTTTTTTCCGATTTGAGAAATGGATTCAGGGAAGTAGGAACACTGACACAAAAGCAGATTAGTGTAAGGAAGGACGAGATTTAACACAGGTTCATTAGGGGGAGGGTTTCGCATCTGTTCCTCCTTGCCACGTTGTTCCCACTTCTCATCTGCCCGGTCATATCTATCCAGACTCTATCCAGCTAGTAGGGAAATGGAAGAGGTATCGCAAGTTCACTTTATCAACAGCTATATGCGGATACGGTAGAAGACTATGACGAAGCCACCGCATGGTTCACAGACAGTGTTGCTTCAGTTGTTAATGGCTTCCCTGCTGAATATGGAACCGTGGTAGATGCCGAAGGTAGACGGCAATTTTAGCCCTTCTACGGAATATGCACCCTTCCGCCCCGCTAGGGTTCATCGCTGAGCAATGAAAGTCAGGATAGCCATCCTTTAGGTTTGGGTTCACTTTTTACTGCCACCAATGTAAAGTTTTAAAACTTTTCTGAGGAAAAAAGAATGTGTTAGGGCTACTGGCATGGTCCGAAGGCCAGACACACTCGGCGAGGTATAATGGCAAAGTTAAAATTGGCTTCTAATCAAAACCGACCGATAAACAAACAATCAATATATTACACACTCTGTTATGAATTTGTTTCACAAACAGCATCAAGGTAATTCAAAAGTTTGTTTTGGACTATTGACAAGCAGCAATTGAGGCATAAATTAAATATTTTTGACGTTTTACCTGTTCGTGCAAACTTTCCATAATGTTGTCCTAAAAATCCTTAGTGTACAAGTAGGTTAAGTGCTGTAAAACCTTGATTTTTTCTCAATATTTCGTTCTCTTTACGTGAGTACTAAAATTCACAGCCTTCGGCCTGGTCTGGAGGTCAAGGCAGTAGCCACTCTGCTCTGCTATGCAACGTCAATACAATTTCTCGACTGACACTACTGCTTTTTTGTTTTATAGAGGTAGAGAGTGGTGTGTTAGCAAATGCATTGCTGACCTAAGGAATGGCAAAGAAGCTTCTGACATGTCACTGAGAAAATTTTATTGGTGGAGTCTTAATTACTTGCTAAATCAGAACACAAAGTTAATACAATTTCAAAGTACTGGATAATATTTTATTGGGGAGTCTAAAAGTTTTTTATCTCTCTTCAAACAAGAAGAAAGGCACCAATCACACACCAAATCAGTTACTTTTTTAAGCAGAAGTTATTTTAACTGGAGTACAGCAGAATGGAGAGGCTACTGGTACTGCTTAGAGGATACTTTGCAAGGTAGAACCTCGACCTGCAGTAATACCTCTGTATGCATAGTACAGCACGCTTTTAAACGAAGAATCAAACCACTGCACACTACTCTCTTCAGTTGAGTGGCATTTTTGTCTTATCCTTAGCACAGAGTAGGTGCTAAACATCATGACATAGTTTGAGTTTTTAAAATCACCCTCATGTAATACGATAGTGGTTTATCCCTCGGTTTTGGTGAGGCGCCACTTTCGTACTTGGGACTAGCCTTCTTGTACCTCGCTGAGTGGGCTGGCCTTTTGGGTCATGCCAATAGCCC